AATGGGGCCCAAATGGGGCTCCCATTTACTGAAATACCATGAATTTCGATCCCCCATTCCAAACGTGAGTACCCCAGGCCATTTCCGTTACAATATGAAGTTTCTCAAAAGTTGTGAATTTGGCTCAAGAGTAAAATAACTTTTTTATAATGTTTCGAAAAATTATTGGTTTTTAAGGAACTGAAACGTTACCGCTTATTGATTATTAAAATACATACATTTTGTCATTACAATTTAGCTAACAAAAAGAAAAATAATTTTGAATGGAGAAATGTATACAGTGTCCCCTAATGTAAAAGTAAGCATATGATCAAAAGGGTAATACGACATGCTTTGGCTCAAAAGAGGACGATCTGACGTAACTTTTATTCAGGAAAAATGTCTAGATCCCCTGCTATTGATGTTTCAAGTTCTTAAAAAATATATGTTTGTTGAAATATTGAGACAATGATTATATGGATTTTAATCCATGTGAATCCTTTTATTTCGTGGCTAGAATCACTGGCTATTTTTAAGTTAATGTACTTATTCCATTTTTTATATTTTGGTGCTCCTTGTAAATTCTTGAAGCATTGATAGTTTTTGCTCTACAAAATATTATGTTTTCTTGTTATTTAACAATTTCACACATTAACGGCAAATGCCGTAGTAAGCGATAATGGTATTTTATAATAAATTAATTGTCAAGCGTTTACAAGATTTTACAAAGAGTATAAAAATGCCAAGAAAGCATTGAATCGACCAAAAGCTAATGAATTGATTCCAGTTATCAAATACGAAATTCCGGTAGTTTTTGTACCCAGTCACTCAAGAATTTCTCACTTAGCCAAAGCAGATGATCGCGGTTGTTTCATCAAAACGTGAGTCTTACATAGGAACAAATTCACAGTGAGTTTTATTGAAATCCACATAAAAACCAATTTTTGAAGAACTTTGACCGTCAGTAGCAGCGGAGACAGAAATATTTTCTTAATATAATCATTTTGGAACACTGTACTGCAGTAACGGCCAAGCTCCAGTAATATACGGACTACCTAAACTTAATACCTACCATTACGACCAATCGTCAACAATATAGGTATTACCAACTTACAACTTATAAAAGTTCATCTCCACAATTCTAAGAAATGTCTTAGGACAGTCAAAATATCATATTAAGGACTCTTGGAATTTTTGTGAATTTATCAAAAACCAAAAAATACCACAAAATTACTGTTTGGTATCGCTTGATGTAACATCATTATATACCAATATCCCAATTGAATATGCAATCGAATGTATAAGAATTAAATGGAAGGAAATCGAACAACATACAATTCCGGAAAATAATTTATTGAAGCGGTAGAACTATGCCCAAAATCTACATATTTCAAGTTTGAAAACAAATATTATTCACAAATAGACGGTGTAGCAATGGGTTCCCCCATATCAGCGACAATTGCAAACCTTGTTATGGAAAGCTTGGAAAAAACATAATAACAAGCCTAAATTATAAACCAACTTTCTTTAAGCGCTATGTAGATGATTGCCTAATGTGTTTACCCAAAGATAAAGTTCAATATATCCTAGATGCATTCAACAATTTTCACGACACTATAAAATTTACAATAGAAAAGGATAAAAATCAATCAATACATTTTTTAGACATAACAGTAAATTATGATAATTCAGGTGAAATAAAAACAAATTGGTATACAAAAGAAGTTTGGTCAGGAAGATATTTAAACTATAATTCATAGGCACCCCAAAAATATAAAAAAGCGTAATAACTGCACTTACAGAGAGAGCTATAAAATTATCACACCCAAATTACAGACAAGAAAATTTTTAAAAAATCAGAAAAATATTACTTAATACTAACCAAAAAAATTTTCTGAACCAATAATAAAGCGAAGAATTAACAAAATTTACAATTTAACTAAATATAATAATAATGAGGAACAAAGAAACCATATATTCCAGAAATCAATAGGAAAATTTCAAAAGTACTAAAGCCACACAATATTATAATTGCGGAAAAAACAAAAAACAACTTATCAACTGAATGTTTCCCAAAACTAATATGGATGGATATACCAAATACTGTATATAGAGTGAATTGTTTAGAATGTGATAATACATATATAGGACAAACTAAACAATATTTAAAAAAGAGAATGTACGAACATAAATACAGTCTGAGAAATACTAGTGAAAATAAAACAGCATTAACACAACATGCACACCAAATGTTACATAATTTTGATTTTGACAACGCAGATATATTAATTAGGTAAACAAATTATGATAAAAGAGTCCAAGAAATTATACAAATAAAAAACATGCAAAAGCAGTAAATTTCAGATCAGATACCGACAACCTTAGCATCATTTACCAAACCCTAATAAAGCCATAAGAATGGAACACCCGGTACACTAGTGAAAAATTAAAACTATTTCTGCTTATCTCAATACATGCATACCACTCTCGCAAATGTAGAAAATAATTCAGACAAACTCAAGCTTTTCAAGAAGGCAAAGACTTAAAAGGATGTTAATTTTTACCAATCATGGGGTAAATTTTCCGATGTTTTGCTCTCCCAGAAGGAAGAATTTTTTCCCTCAAAAACTGATGAATTTTTTAACACTTTGCAAATTATAAATTTTATACAATATGTTTTAATTGTGAATTGGTGTTTGTAGTTTGTGTAAAATTTTAAATCTGATGATGGCGCTGTTGTCTCGCCGAAACGTAATGAAATAAACGATGTTTCAAAATTCACACTTTGACTCAAACCTAGGAAAGATAGGAATATCATAATAAAAGTTAGGTCAGATGGTCTGACAATGTCGCAGTGCCCTGATGATAGGCTTACGAGACACCCTGTATAATTTTCGAAAAACCTGTAAAACTTGAAAATTCACAGCAACTCAATGAAATTGCATATTCAATGAACTGCTGTGGAAACTGGCAAAAATAATTTTTAGGTCTTAGAGCTTGACAATCTTTTACAAACCTATAATTTGGTGAGGGCTTCTAATATGATCTTTTCCACATTATACTATTTCGAAATGGTACTAAAATTAGGATTTTTTTCTAGCCCAATCTATTCCACCAATTCTTCCTCCGCAAGCAATACGACCTCAAGTTATGCCAGCTGCTCAATCTCCAGTAACCCCAATGGCAGCCGTGGGTGCTAATGGTGGAATGCCGCCAGGAGCTTCAGACCAAGAAAAGGCAAATATTTCTTCTGTTTTAATTTGATTTTCTCTAATTTGCTAGTTTCATTGCAGGCTGCTCTTATAATGCAAGTACTGCAGCTGTCCGACGAGCAAATTGCTATGCTGCCACCAGAGCAGAGAAAAAGTATTTTGGTATTGAAAGAGCAAATCGCTAAGAGTGCACAGGGGCGTTAAGGAACTGATTTGAATAATAAATAATACAATGATTAAAATCATGAAATATAATGCAGAAATAATATAAAGTAAACGTACTAAATTTAATTATAAAAAGTTATATGTACTCACAAACTCCCAAAAGTTTGCTGGGAAAATTCTCAAAGCAAAACGGCATCCCTTGAAACACTTACATTGACTCAATAAGCCGCATTAGTTTTTTACGAGCTTTTGAATAGGTCGTTGTAGTGGATGTCCTAATAATTTTCCCATACACCGGTGAACTCTCCTCAAATCCCGACAGACTGGGAAAAAATACGAAATTCCTTTTTTATCAATATTCTGCAAAATGTCGAATATTTTCTGGCAGTGGTTGCTGGTTTCTAGGGGCTCGTGAGTCATCAAAATGTCCAGAATAAAAAAGGGGTTATTCAAAAACTCGTCTAATTTCTCAGTGTGTGTGATTTGTGGCAAGGTATACGATCTTCCATAAAACAGTACTGTTCTCAATACGAAAGGGGGTGGCAGTCCGAGTGCTTGAGGAGTCGGGATTTCGACACCTTCTATAATTTCAAAAACTTTGTTTAAATCGAAAATGTCTTCGGTTATGCATTCGTTAATCTGATTTAAACAGTCCAATAGTTTCTTAACATCGTTGGTTAACTCCAGGAGCAATGTTGCGTTGTTCTCATTCATAACAATAATCGCAAACTCGTGATTTGGATTAACGGCCAACTTTAGTTTGATGAAAATACTTATTGCTCTTTTAACCATGCTCAAAGGTGTATACTTTTGGCTTCCTATAACAAATGGCGTATAGTTTTCATCCTGCGCCCTATCAATAACCAGGACAATGCGTTCCATCACATCGCTGTTCGGCAGATTGTACTGCGTAATAACTGGACTACCATCGCGTTTCTCAAAAATATCAAAGTCCTTTAGGTACTCCTGGTTATCTTTAAGGGGTACCGGAGCTGGCTTTATGATCACTTTCGGACTTGGGGTTTCAGTACTGGCACGACCTTTTCCAACTGGGGTAGACATGACAAGTTCCTCCTCATTATTGGAAGTTTTCTTAGGTGTTTCAGCACTGGTACTCGGCTTGGTGTCCACAGAAAGCTCTTCTAAAGACTTCGATAATTGGCTTTGATCTTGATCGATTTCTGGGATGGATTCCTGACTTGGTGGTTCTTCTCTACCCTCAGCTTGAATTCTCGCCATTTTTTCAGGTCACTGTTCAGTTTTCAGGAATGTTAGATTAATAATCCAAGAGAAAACTGCATAATCTATGTACTGTATATATGCTACGGGTGTTCACAAAATATCCCCCCGCGGTATGTTCTGTGCGGGTGTTTTGCCCAATGACAAACAACCCAATTAACCTAACAAAAAAATGGAGCATTTGTGCAAAGGCGTGAAGTTAGCGGCAAACATCAGAGACAAGGGATTATTTCTTGTCTGGCAAACATATTCTTAATGCTACTAGGGTATTTTAGCTGCATGTGATACTTCAAAAGAATACAATCTATTTTATAGTTATATGGAATATACTATGGAAGATTTACTAATTAAAAAGCAGCTCACTAAAGATGAATTTGAGTAATATCGTTAACTTGATTATCATGAATTTTTGGTGCACTATTTGGCTACAAAAACGTCATACCGATCCAGTAAATTCGGTTAACAGATCAAAAAGTGATTTTAAACATATGATCCCAAACTTCATGTGACAACTACCCATGTGATTTTGACAACACTATTATCATATGATTAAAGGGGTTCGGTCTGGGATCATTTTCTAAAGTAGAGTGTTTCTTCACAAAAATGCAGCATATTGTGCTTGTTTTAGGTTTAGTAGCTTCAGGTGAGTTTACCCAACAAACCCCAGTTGAGTATTGCAGTTACTATCGAGCGAATGATTTTTCAGTATATGGGGCTGGAGAACTCTCAATAATCCATCACCCAGGTAGCATCGTATTCAAAGGGCATGACGCTATCAAGGAAAGTACGTTGCCTGAAGTCTTCTCTGCTGCCCTTGGGTTCTCGACAGAGCACTTTTCTCATTGGCAAGGGTTTTACATTGAGAACCCCTTCAATATACCCGAAGCCATTGTAACTGTTGCTGTAGATGGGGTGCAGGACATTGGGCAGAATAAGGGCCATCACTACCCTCTATTGACCAATGATGACGAAAATCGCGTCTTTAAAGCTCTGGCTTCCAGGATTTCGGAAAGGTATCCTGATGAGGAACCTAGTTTAGTCCGGATTGATTTTGCTAATGGGTTAGATGATGTAAGTATAACAGATACATTTCTATTGATTCAGTTTTCTTTGACATTTAATTCTTTATAATGGAGCTTTTCAATTAAATGGTTGACAATGTTGCTAACTACAGCATGTGATCTTGAAGGCCTACATTGATAAAAGTCTCGTTTGGGAATTTACAGAACTATTAAAGTGTTGTCGATTTATCTGAAGACGAGCAAACGGTGAATGTGTTAATAAAGGTAGTTGTAATCATAAACTGGAAGTGCTTTAATTATGGCGCCGTGAAGACATTTAAAGATGAAAAGGCTGTTTTTTACGCATATCAACTTTCAATCAAACAACTCTCTGAATAAGGGATGAATGAAAATGAAATTGAGAGATCCGCTGAATGAGGATCTCTTAATTTTTATTATCTCCATTTAATGATTTAGAATCTGTCTCGAAAGGGCAATGGGTAAATTGTACACTGTACAGTATAAAAACATGAGCGGCCAAAAAATGGTGAAGGCCTCTTAAAACATACAAATAACACAGTAACAGTGTAACGTTTTATAGGTATGTCTGTATACTATCACTACAAATGTTTTTAAATGTCTTAAATCGAGTGGTTGTGTTTGTTAATGTTAAAAAATCCTTAGCTGATTGATTTGTATGAGTTAGCAGCGTACTTTTTACGTTCTTAATGCGAGTGAAAATCTCCTTGTTATGACATAGGCCGAAATTAAAATGCTTTCTTGGCTGCAGGCTCTTCTTTAAAAATTCATAACTTCCATTCCAGAACAGGACGCTGCATAAAATTTGAACACTTTATACTAGATACTTCGAGCTAAGAAATAATTAAGTTTCTTTCATTTCGTAGTTTCATTTTTTCCATCCAATGTAAATGTTGAGCCAAAAATTAACATATATCTTCAATTGCACGAACTCTTTGGAATATTCGTATTTTCCAGTTGGTAATAACTTGAAATTCGCACACCCAGGATTTAAAAAACTTACGTAGGAAATGATAGTTTCACTGAAATCGCACAGAATCCTGAGTTTTGTCAACCTTGTAGATGAAGGGCCAAACATAGGTATTTTTACTTAATTGCAAGATATTGTTTAAAAATTCATGATTTTCAACCCAAAGCAGATGGCCACTTAAAATCCTAGCTCTTTATAGAAGACATTTGAAACTGAAAAGCCTGAAAATTAGACATAATCTGTTCGTATCAATCCTTTGAATGAAGGGCTAAAAATTAAAAAAATATCTCAACGCTTCGGACAAAACACTTGAGGCTGAGGACCAGGCAATTTCCACTCAAATAGTATAGAATCATGATTTTTACCGACCCTGTAAATGCTGCGACAGAAATATTTTTTTGAACCAACTGCATGCTCTCCTTGTTTTTGTACCCCGTAAATTTCACTCAGTGTGTGCTTAATTATGTATTGGACAGGTTTGTTGATGCGCAATAAACGTACGTAAAAAACAATTAAGATTAAGAACGCTTTAGAGCGCGCTTCCCCCGAAATTCCTCGATCTAAGAATCCAGATCTAAGATCCAAGAACTAATCTTGCTTGGTTCGCAAATCGTTCCCTTGCAATCCAATAAAAATTAAACTTTTTGCATTAATATTAACATTATTTCAACACTGTTTTCCGTAGTTTTAAAGTAGAAAAAAAATTTAAAACTGAATCTAAAATCCAAAATCCAAAAATCCAAAAAATATATTTTACCTTTTTTGGAAGCATAGTTTATACATATTGGATTAAAATTTTAAGTTAAAAATTGAGTGAACATACTTAATAAATTCTAAGATCCAATTGTAATTTATATAGAATTATTTGATAATTTCAGGTGCATCAATACAGTATTTTTGATGGAATCAAGAGCGAAAACCCCAAACACGTGTCGCACAAGCACTTGAAGCTTGATGTGGAGGAAGACAGAACTTTTTTGAAAGACATTGCTCTTTTGAATGCAATCATAGAGAAAGTACGATTTTTAAACTGCAATCTAATGTTCCATTATAAACTAATTTGCAAATTATTCAGGTTGAAAACCGCGCTGTTAAGGAAGACTTTGTACCCGATGTATACTGGTTCAAAATCTCCTCTCTTCACTCTTTGTCAGATCTTCATGGACCGAATTCGACTGAAACCCAGGAGGCCAAGAAGCTTCTCCAAGACACAATTGTTCGTCTAACTGATGCTTTCGTAAAGCAGTATAATAACCATGTTCTTGTCTCTGTTATAACGAGTGATGCGAGCCACACTAGATTGAGAAGGAATATTTTGGCTACTTCCGAAACCGACAGCGATGTGAGTAATTGTTTTTAATTTCGTGCGACTTTCATATACTTTATGGAAATTAAAGCTGATGAAATTGGGTCAATGATAATTGGAAACAACATGGACAAGAGATTATAGAATTTTTACGGACGGAGAAACCTTGCAAATATTTCCTACAAAAGTGGCATCAATAGTGTTTAAAATCGAAAAGTTGTTGAGTGAATGCGACCTGAAATGAAACACGCGGATTAGACGTGAAACAATAGAGAAAAGCGATTGAAAGACTCCATGAACTCGGAATATTTATTTTTTATTGAGAAACTAAATTTAATTAAATGTAAAAAACAATTTTATTGAAAATAGCGCTCCTGTTAAAGAAAATTCGCTTTTTTTGGCTTACTGAATTTGATTTTGTTTCTTTATCTGTGGTATGCAATTTTCCATTGTCAGACAGTAAACTAGTAAAAACCAACCCAAATAATTACAATTTTAGTTTATTGATAAGCAGCAAAACATGTCAAAAAGTCAACAGATTTATCACAATCCCCCCGAATTGAGTAGGATATTGCATACTTATGAAATGAAACTTAAGAATTTACAAACTTTCAACTTTAAGCTTTTAAATAACAAAAATGGCAAACTGTTCGATATAAAATCAGGGCAGATGATTTGTCGTTGAAGTTCCATAGGAAAAAAGTTTCTCAAAATTTCCGGTGAAAATGCTTTTCCAAATAGAAGAATACGAGGGTCGTTCGATAAACCAGTGACTTTGATTCAAATAATTTTTTTCGGCCAAAAAGCGTTTTATATCTCAACATAATCTCGTTTTAGCTCGATACACTTAGTCCAGCGTCTTTCCAATTTTTTTATTTCTTCCAAATAATATAATTTCTCGAGGTCCTCAAAACATGCGTTTGTTTCAATGATGACCTCTTCACTGTAACCAAGTCTCTGACCGCCCAGCCATTTCTTTAACTTTGCAAACAGGAAATAGTCGCAGGGGGCTAAATCTGGAGAATATGCTGCACTGTTTTGATTGTTCTTTGGTCTCTGGTGTATTGTGATGGATCCATGTTTCGTCAACGGTTACGAAACGTCGCAAAAACTTGCTCGGATTGCGACGGAACATCGCTAAACATTCATTTGAAATGGTCACACGGGAACGCTTATGGTAGAATGTTAGCGATCGCGGCACCCATCGTGCGGATAGCTTTTTCATATCCAAATATGTATTCATGTAAAATGTGATGTGCCCTCTCAGTTGAGCCAGCCTCAGCCACCTCACGCACTTTTATTCTCCGATCCTCCAGTATCGTTCCATGGATGTTATCGACCACTTCTGGCGTAACATCCTCTTTTGGACGACCACAACGAAACTCAGTAAACCACTTCCGAACCATTACCATACCAGAAAAAAAAAGTAATGTTGAATTTAAAGTTACTGCGCCGGAAGTTCAAAAAGTCACTGACTTATCAAACGACCCTCGTATCTTAGCCGAAAATGTTTGAGTTTAAATAAATACGCACAATTGCAATCCTTAACTAGTTTATGTGTTTTTTAGAAAACCAAGTACAATCTAGCTTCCACCTACTCAAAGGACTATCCTGTAATTTTCAACATAATCCTGTGGTTTTCTATTGTTATGCTGTTTGCGATTCTGGCGATCTGCCATGTTACTGCTAATATGGATCCTGGCCGTGACTCCATCATCTACAGGATGACCAGCACCAGAATTAAGAAAGACAATTAATTTCCTGAGATATTTGGAAACTCCATTTTGCATTGAAGTAGTACAGAATTTATCATTTTGATCAGTTGTTGTAAACTTGTAATTTTTGTTGTAAATAGAAATTGTTATGCACTCATCGGAACAAGCGAGCACAATGTTTTCAAACATTCCTCAAATTGTATTAGATTAGAATGTAGCTTTAGATTATGTAAAATGTGCTTAGATTAGTCTCATCATTTTGAACTTGTGGGGAACTATCATCTAACCAATAGTGTCAAGTGCTTTGGATTTTGGTTTCATTGACAAAAAGTATTTAAATAAAACCGCCCTAGTATTTTACACTTGCTGTAAAAATTACCATCATAGAAACTATTTTCCCGACCGTTTTTCCTTTTGCTCACACATCAGAACCCAGTGAAATTTTACATAGCAAGATAATCTTACAACTTAGTGTAGCAATTAATAAGGGATGCAATTTTGGACCGGAAGCTTTGTTGATATAAGTTGAATTTAATATGTAGTTATGGGGACTGGTTAAATTGGTTGTTGGGTCATTGATGAATTCAAGACAAATTATGTAATATTTTCTTTGTTTTTAAATAACTATGCATTGAAAGCACAGTTATTTTAAGCTAAGTAAGTTAAACAAAAGTATGTATGTATTGGAAAACACTTGGAATGTCGGTATAATATAATAAATCGCGTAGTTGCTGTAGTTTAGATACTTATGGTTTGAATACCTTAGATTCAGCTAATGACTCATTGTAATCGAAAATATGGAAGGTATAATATGGGAATATCCGTTACTGTTAAAATCGGTTAGTTTCTCACACATATCGATTGTACAACAAAGTATTCAAGCAATCAATCAACTACTACTGCTTTACTTTTCGCAAATTTACACAATATCGAGCATTATCACGACTGAAAAAGTAGCTAGCAAAACGTCGGGCGAAATTTGAAAAAATATCCACTTCAAACCCAAAATAGTAGCCTCACAAACTTTTTGAGCTATTTGCTATAGATGGTAGTAAGAATTTTAAATTTATTACTTACGATCGGTTTTAATATCTATATCTTAACTAGTGCTCAATTATCTTGTTGCTTGGCATGTTTAACATTCGAGAAAAATCAGAATAAAGTGCGATTTGAATGGAAATTTCAGTGTTTGGCGTCAACTATCTGGACTGATTGTCTCATGATCTGTTTTATTAGAAAGTGTGGAATTGCGTGAATAAATTGATTTCTTAACCAGTTCATAGTTTAGAAGTATGATAATTCTGCTAAATGACTAAAGCTTCAGGGCTTTCATTGCTATTTCAAGATTCTACTTCCTTTGATTTTTTCAAATTTTAGAAAACAGAACATAACATAAACCGTCAGCTTTGTTTTCGACAGTGCGAACCGAGGTTTATCTGTGTTTACTGGTAAGAAGTAAAAATAATTCGTAAGTGTAGCATTCTTTTTTAAGCATCACGTTTATGTGTATATAGTTGCCAAACCTCACATGCTATAAATTCACCAAATATTATGTCATAATTTAGGAGCGGGTTCATAATCAATGCTCCAACGTGCGTTCAACATGAAACGATCTTAGACAAGGAAGAAGCGACTGCGCTGTGTGAAGAAAGAAACGACTATCTAATCGTTCTCCTCCCACCCTAACCCATATTTTTGTTTATGAACCCGCTCCAATGAATTCCACATCATCAGTTGATTTAGGGCTAAGTGATAACTGCAATGAATACGTCAGTTGTTTTGTGAAAATTAAACAATTTAAATAAGCAGCCCTTAAAGTAATGAAACTGCCTGACTGAGTGAAACCAAAAGCCTTTAAATTAAACATGATTTCGTCGTTTGTTACGTTACTCATCTTGTGCTGTGCCTACCAAGAAATAGTCTCCACCGAACTCACTTTTGAGTTGCCCGATAATGCTAAACAGTGCTTCTACGAAGAAATTAAAGCTAATAATACAGGTTCGTTGGAATTCCAGGTAAGAACCCTCAGCAGCTTAAAGGCTGACTATTAATTACCAAACGTCGGTTCTAATGTAACTTGCTGAGCGCAGCAGTTTGCTTCAGAAGTGAAACTTACAGCTGAGGCACACAATCTTGTGTATATACATGAATATCTTATGTATATGCGATCAATTTGAGTATATATAAACCTATACCCTCGTTTATGTTATACATGTTATTTATATTTAGATATGCAAAGTCTTACTTGAAGCTTATATAAATCATCTACTTGTTCACGTTCTAAATATTTAAAAAAAGTTTTTCCGTCGTTCAATACACGTAATCTGCGAATGTTTCATATTTAATTTACTGTATGTTGCAAACAAATCCTTGCAGGAAAGGATCTAAAATGTTTTGAGCATTTAATACCTACTAAAATTGAACGTACCATTGAACCTGTAGTTTCATCTAAACCTATATACATAAATGGATAGCTATTAATAATGCCAATTTCCCATAAAAAAATAATTTAAAAATTACACGCCAATTGACCACAATATTCCCTCTGGATATATATATTCATATGGCATATGGTTGAATTATTTAGGTATCAGCAGATATCACATACGTAACTCGTCTCGCAAGATAATGTCTAGGAATATTTTCATAATTTTAAGGTATTTTTTTTATCAGGTAATAACTGGAGGTCAGTATGATGTAGATGTCGTACTGAAAGACCCAAAAGGCGAAATTCTGTATCAAAAACAGAAGCTGCAGTTCGATACCGTTTCAATTGAAGCGAAAACGACTGGAGTTCATGAAGTGTGTTTCAGTAATGAATTTTCCACATTTTCGCATAAAATAATTTATTTGGATTTGAAAAATGGTGAAGAGGAAGACCCACTACCGGGACTTGGAGAACACATAACTGCTTTAACGCAGGTGAGTAATCAAACTTATACAAAAATACCCGTTAATTACGATCAGAGAAAACGGTTTAATAACAAGGTAGATTATAAAAGAAACATAATGTAAAAGAAAAACTAATATCTGACCATTATACAGGCACATAAAGAGTTTGGGGACTTAATAAACTGGTGAATTTTTATCTGTCTCAAGTTAGTTAGTCTAGCAAAGTAATAAAAAAATACGAATGTACGCTGCAATATTAGCATAGCTTTCATTAAAAGACACCTATTGACTGAACTTTCTTTTCCTGAACACTCTGTATAAGTCCTCACTTTAAAGATGGGAAAAATTCTATCACCGGCTATATGTTGGTTACAAAATAAGTGAACCATTTCTCTCTTTCATATCATGGGAGTTAATTAGAACAGCTGAACTTCTCAACAAATTTACACTGTAAAATTACAACAAATGATTTTTTATTATTAGATGGAAACGTCAACAGTGGATATGCATAAGTTTCTCAACGTAATCATTGATATCCAAACTCGCCATCGTCTGCGTGAAGCGCATGGACGAAAACAAGCTGAACAGTTAAACGAAAAAGTGCAATTGTGGGCCCTATTTGAAACTGTGATCATTATAGTAATAGCTGGTAGTCAAACTATTATGCTTAAGAGTTTTTTCTCAGATAAACGGATTTTGAGTGTCTCCGATAAACGACTTTTGGGTGGACATTAAGCCTTTGTTTAATGCACGGTGGAAGGTAAAAGGTAAGTATACAGAAAAATTGAGTGGATTCGTGCAGTATAAGCTGAGCGTGGTTGATTTAATTGTAATAAGATAGAATGTGGTTATTTTTCCTTCGAATATCATGGCGGGGTTGATTGTTTTGTTATAAAAAGGGCCAGTTCTAATTACTAGGAGTATGAACGCTAGTAAGACTAATCCTTTAATGTATCAACGTTTTCAAATTACTCAACGTTTTTTGCATTTTGTCTCAATTCAACCGGTTTTTGTAGTAGTAAGTAAATAGACCTGTCTTATGTAACCCGCAAAGTCATGTAAATAATACTTATAAATAATACTTAAATTATTTGTATGATGGCACATAATATATTTTACTGAATATATGAACTTGGGCGCAATATTGGTTTCACAATTTTTAATCCAAAATAGGCTAATAATAATGTGATAATTCAGTAGCTTGATAAAGGGAGAGACGTGTGCATGTTTATTAAAAATTTAAAAAACTTCTGATTTCCCTTAATTAAAGGTTTCCATTAATGGTTCGAAACCAATTAAATTACAACATTGTTTAACTTAAATTTATGTAACGTGCTTAGTGAAAAAGGTGAGTGAATTAGTGAATAAATCACTTACCATTATGATCAGTTATTTGCCTAATTAAGTAAAAGCATACCGCTACACTGTCTTTTTCAATGATTTAATGGTGTGATGTAAATGTTTTTAAACAGCGACCTACAATTTAGATTAACAAAAAATTAAATATCACAGCACTGCTAGTATTATTTATTTTATCTGAATCACAGAACAATTTCCTTAATACATTTCGACTAGAATATATTGCAGGTATCGACAAAATAAATAACAGCCATACAAGACTAAATATACACATTTCGGACTACAGACAGAATTACGATACACATAAAAAGTAGATAATTTAGAAAAATACACCCTTCGTACGAAATCGGCGAAACTCTCCGGTTATCGCTCTAATAATCCAGCTAAATCAATGCGTAAGCTCATCAATAAAACTTTTCTAAACAAGCAAATAAAATATTTAAAATGTAAATGCGTTTATAACTTGTGTTACATAGAAAATTATAAGTTTTATAGTTTTTCTACTTTAAAATTATTCTTTCAACCCGCTATACTTGTCCGCTTGTCTGGCATATTTAAATTCCATTTAGCTCATTGATACTCACAAATGACTAATTGCCATTCAAATATGTACAAGACTTTTAATGCACCACGGTGGAATTCCTGCTATGCTGAAAAAACAATTTAAAACAAATAATAATTACAACTAACGCATAACAGGCCGATCCAAATTTTCTTCATATCGAGTATTTTTGATGATTTAGAAGTTTTAATAACATTTTAAAATATTACAGACATTTTTTTATTTTATTTTATATTGCATGCACAATCCATTTTTATCTCAAACACACATAATATAAATAATCTGCAACAGAATTGAGATCCGATCACATCAACTAAGCAATAAATAGATAGGCATATACTGCTTAATAACTACCTAGTATATTTGACTATAAAATAGTATAAATATGCTCACCAAGTGATGTTACAAAATAATATGCTTTCATTTAATCTCAGTAGCTAAAATTGCTGTAAAACTATCTTTTATTTAGTAAGAAAAGATAAAAATAAACTTTAAAAACCGCATTTGTATATCGAAGCAATTGAATTCATTGATGAATTTAGTTTATTTCTGCGTCTGTCGATCAGACCCTGAAAAGAACTAAATTGTTTACTGTTCAATATGCTTTAGCAGTGTTAAGCAATAAGTTGTAAAAAAAAATAAATTATATAATACATTTCTCTGTACAAAAAAGTTAACTAAAAGAAAAAATATCACAATAAGCAAAAAGTACTTGTAAAATAATTAGTTTTGTTTCAGCTGATAAGATGACTTGGCTGATCTAGGGGGTACTGGCTTTGCTGCTGTTGTATTCCTATAAATTTATATTAAAGTTATCAGAGATAAAAATATGTTTTTCATCAGATGCTCTGCCGAGTATATGCATATAAATCACAGTCACGTACCTCAAACTATGAACATCAACAAGACTTTTAAGTGCCTGGTTGTACTTTCCTTCTTGTTCCAATTTGGACGTATTACTTCTACCTACTACGGAATGCGGTGCTAATCTAATGACCATGTGACTATTCTCCATTTCCCTTTTTATTACATCATTTACCAGAGCTTTAATTTGAGGACAGATAGCTGGAGGTGTATAGTCTTGAGTAGTTCTTAATGGCATATCCAATTTTAAGTCTAGGATATTTTCACCCTAAGGTCAAATATTTATCCATCAATTTTATAATTGGTTAGGAAAATAATTAATAATTACACAACAAATAACAGCAGAACATGAGTGGTTTGCTCCCTAAAACGTCGACTGTGTTACTTACTCGATATTTGGTTTGTGTTAGGCCTTGATTGACTGCATAATCAGAAATGGGACGTCGATAGTTATGTGCTATAGGCCTATCTTGCGGCAAGATTCTCGAAGAATCCTCCTTAATTATCCAGTTATCTGTATCTTCGTCAAATTGTGCTAAACTGATAATTCTACTTCTTTCTTCCGAAGGTACAAAATTATCTATTATTAATAGTGACTGTCTGAGATTCCTAAAATGCAGGTTTTTTATGGTGGAACTATTAATCTAATAAATTAACGTACATTGCGGCCTCATCATTGGCATTTTCCACCTCTTGCCTGTCCTTCAGGTACACCTCGTGATTATCGATAATTTCCTGTCTGACTGATTGTAACTTGTTGTTAAGTCTTTTCAGCTTGTCTCTCTTAAAATCGACCTGCTGTTGTAAACTGGCAAAAACCTGCTTAAGCTCTGAGCATGTTTCTTCTTCCAATTCTATTCGTTGCTGCATTTCAACTTCGCGTTTCTACATCAAAAAATGCATTCACAGAAGCTGACAACACATAAATCACAATCCTTATTAAGCAGATCTTACTTTTAACAGTTGTTTCTTCAATAGTTTATTTTCGGCCCTAAACATCGAAATTTCCGCTTGTAAATAGCTAATTTGTCGAGACCAATGTGTCTCTAGTGAATTTAATTCAACTTTGATTTTGAATATTTCATCCTGAATTTGTTCGCGTTGAAAACAGACGTTTTCAAAATCACTCATTAACCTTCTAAAATGAGTTTCACACATTTTTAGCTGTTTTGAAAATAGACGAAAAGCGACACAAATATCTTATGGTAGTACTGGGAATTTGAGAATGTCTACTGGATATCATAGCCATACATAGGAATGTATATGTTTATTTACTTGAGCAGGTAAAATAAGTTTTTGCATGTTCAAGTTCAGTTCCGCGTTTTATACTGCACTAGAAAATTTAATTACTAGGATTAATACTAGGTAGGTAAATCGAGTTGTCTAGAACTCATGCAGTTAACATCGATACTAATTATTTTGAAAAAAATGGTAAGTGCTTATACTTTTTAGGCTTAATTTAATTAACGTAGATTCTAATTGATTTGGGAAAATTATCAGCACTTACTTTTCTTTCAGCAATTTCGGTTTTCTGTTGTTCGAGTCTTAGTTCGTTTTCGTTTACACTATCCACTATATCCTTGCCGCCATGAACCATCTGCTTTTCCAAAGCCTTCAACTTTTTTGATAATTCATCAACTTCCATTTTACCCACTTCCAGTTTTCGTTCTTTTTCTACATTTTCACTTTCACTGTCGGAATCCAATAAGTCAGCTTCTTCACTGTCCAATCTGGGAAAATACTAATATTTAGATTTTTCAGGCAAATATAATAGCTGAAACTTTTCAGAAAGAAAAGATTTTTTAAACGAATTTTGAATAATGTACATCAAGCCTGTAGCTCAGGGATTCCCTAAACTTTTTCAATGATTCTTCTTTTTATAGATCGAACAGCCGAACGTATTGAAATTTCATAATTAACCCTTTATTACTGATTTTCAAAATATGGGAAAACCTGACATACCCATTAATTTCAGTTCCATTACTCTTCTGCATGATCAAGGCTTTAAGCCTCTCAATTTCATCTTGCAACATTAACAACTTTCCATCCTTAATGTCTTCGTTCTTCGTGGGTTTGTTCTTAATCGACTTGGCTCTATAGGCGTACCTCAAGGTAATTATCGTTTCGTCATAATTCATGTTAGCCGGCCCAATATTTGCTATCATAATTGTCTTACTGTTACCCCCCAAAGAGTCCTGAAGGAGTCGCGTTAGTTTGGAATCCCTATAGGGAATATGGGCGGAATTTTCTGCTAGAGCATATATTACATTCCCTAAAATATTCAATGTATATTTACTTAATGAAATTTTCAATAACATCATTGGCTAAACGTGTGCAATAAAAAATATATCAACTTTAAAAGGAAAACTTAAATGTAGTTTGTGATTAGTATTGAATGTAAATATTCCTTAGAGGTAATATTTCCGGTGGAAACGCTCCAAATTTAAAATCAAAACAAATTATCGTTTAATTGGACATTGAAGCGTAATGTAGATGCCTTGGAAACGGCCTTGCCTATACTAACTAAGCGCGAAGGATTCTATTAGTGAATTGACTGTTTTATTGTTAAATGCACGAAAAAGTGTTTACCCAAAGATGACAGGGCTTTATTGATTTTCGTGGCTTCTTTCAGTCTGTCTCCTGTGGCCCCCGTTTTGGACTGTCTCTCGCTACCCGCTAGATCCACTAGATTTAATTTGCCTACTTTCATCGATTTCGAGTCTCCTTCTACCATCTCAATAATGATCTTAAAAAAATAGTTGGCTTCAAAAAATCTTAAATTTTCGAGCGGTTTATTGGTTTATTTACCTGAAAAATCGCATGAGATCTGGAACTGTGTTCATTCATATTGGTCGCTCCAGTCGTTCGATTGTGGTTTCCAGTCTTCATGGCTTTTAGCATATCTTTGGCGCTCTGGCAAGTATGAGAATGCAAATTTGTAACAACCACACCTTCACCAGCTTGCTCTCTTAATTCGTGAATCTTTGTACTTTTTATCCGAAGTAAATCTCTGTGGAATAATATGTATGAGCGACTGTATGAAAGATTAAAAACATTCGAAAAAAAAATAAATGGGCAAACCAAATTCAAAGCTTAGTTAAGAAGCTATAATATACTAATCAATACCTAATTTCTTCCATATAAATTTCCAAGTAACGAACAGAGACCAGAAATTCGACGCCCGTTTTTCTGGCTATGTGGGCCCATATTTGTTCGAACGCTCTAGGAATAATTCCCATTTCATCCTCGTCACTTCCTAAACAACAATTAAAGCTACAATTTCGAAAATAGTCCCAAATTATATATTTTTTTAAACCAATGGGGTTTTAACCGAAAGTATTCGTTGATCGTTTCACGGGGCATTTTAAGAATAGCTTATGAATAAGCATAACAATAAAATAATTGGTCTCAAATGCACGAAATTAATTTTACTTTATAAAATCTCAATGCAACCTCCTGTATAATAACTATCGCCAAATTTAACTTCTTTTTATGTGAAGTATGTATTAAGGCTTTTAAGGATAAGCTTTTAGTGTGCATTTTACATTATACAGTGCGTTCTCGATTTACGAAAGAACAATAACTTCTAAATGCGCATATTATGCAAATTAAATTTTTGCTGCTTGTCGTTTCCAGAGGGAATACTCAATAGTACGATAAATTTCGAATATGTGTTGTGATAACAAACCAGTGCCTATTTTTAACAATAAAAATACTCAAAAAACTCTAATTATCATAAATATAAATATGTATGTATTTTGTCACAAACACACTGTACAATCTAAAAATATTGACATGTTCAGTGCATTCAAGAAAGTTTAAAAAACTTAATAGGTAGTTATCCCTTGTCTCTGGGGTGTACTGTGCGGTTTCAGTTGAAAAATGCGAATATTAAAATATTTCTATTTTTTACCCCTTATTCCAATTACGTTTCTAAATGTAAATTAGTTCAGAACCCGCCGATTGACGTCGGCTGCTGAAAAAATTACGTCAATATATTTATATGGAATCTAAACCGAGTTATGAATGTCGTCATGTTGAACAAACATACAAGGTGGCCGCAAATTAATTTATTTGGAAACAAACTTTTTTTCTTCCGCACTAACATAGTTATCAACTAGGAATTATTTTGTCAGTGCTTAATTGTTTTATTACAGAGGTTCTGACTGAATACAGAATTTAACGAAGGTGAGGTAGAAGTCAGACAAATAGGCGAAGTAACTAAATTAAAGGCGTTTTCCGATTATATATGGGGAACGGGATTTTGCCACCAGATGAGAGAACAATTAATATGCCAGAGCAACTGATAGGGCTCATAGAAAGCAATAAAAAGCAAATGTGGATGATTGATGGATGAAAGTGGTCCTTGATGGATGAAAGAAGGAAGCACAAGGAGCAAAACCGAGACAAAGACAGAACTGAACCAATTTTTCCCCTACTGTTGTTGCATTCAAATACTGCGCGCAAAACTATTTTCACAGTATATTGCAAAAATACTATGAATATGAACCTGAGTAAAAAAGTGAAAATGACCGACGTAAGTTCATCTTGCTTTGAGCCATCGTGTATATTTCAAAGTACCAAAAAGAAACACGTTGCCTACAACCGTCGTAGTTTTACAACATTTCCTTCAGATGACATTTATTTGTTGCCTCACCCTGTAAAACTTAGGGGTATAAGTACGTTGCAATGGCCCATGAAAATATTTGGTATAAATTAATAAAAAATAATTTCTACATTTTTCTCCGCTATACATATACTTATGAATCCCCTTAATTGGGAAATTTTTAAATTGCGTCTCCTAATAACAGCGTTTTTTAGGAATTAAACCTAGTTCGGTCCATTTGATCATTTACCTTCCATAGTGTACGTTTTTCCAGTTCCTGTTTGTCCATATGCAAAAACACAGCCATTGTAGCCTTCGAGGACGGAAGCAACCAGTGGGCGAATTGTTTCATCATAAAGTGTCTGTTGTGCTGATCTATAACAGAGCGAACGCCTGATGAATATTTGAAAACCGTGCTGCTTTACATTTGTTAAATTTAGTGTGAGTCGATTACGTCAAAGGCTGCATGAAATTTAACCCAGCCCACTCATGTTTATCCAATTGTGGAAATAATTAAATTTATTTCAAAGCAAATAATAGGTAGGTTTTGGGGTCACTCGGACAGGTGTGGAGTTTTAAATTTGGATGAATAATCACGTCAAGGATTATCTTATCATCCACTCAAATGTGATATCTTGAAAAATGTAAATTAATGTTTAATGTATATCTTTTGTATGTACATATTGCTCTTGAGAATGCCAATTAACGCACCATAAACAAAGTACATCGATGTAGGTCGTCGGCATATTCTTTCTTTGATAGATAGATAGGTATGGAATTATAATAACGCAATCATAATATTGATCTTAAAAAGTAATAAGCCACTTGCTTTTAGTTTTTTTCCTTTTACGGCACCTATTTAATAATATGCTGACCTGGATAATTTGCCGTTTTAAAGGTTCGAAGCAAATAAACTCTCTGTATATTAACGTATTTATCCTGATTATTAACGCTTTCCCGGTATCATTACAACCGTTATGAGAGAGGAGCAATAATATTATCCATATAAAAAAATTACAAAAAAGGTAGTATCCTTTCCAAGTTCATGATTTTTCTCAAAATTATATTTACAATTTCAACTTAGCAGTGATAACAGCTAAACACAAACATATAAAAATCATACATTATATATAATACAAACAAATAACATCAGACCCATATGTTATGCTATTGCCGTTATGTGAAATAATATCGCAAAATGCACCGGATATTTTTAGCTTAAGCCGTCATTCACGATTTACATCGATCATTGATAAAAAGCATAAATCATTCTTTTGGGTTTTATGTTCATTTTAAGGGCGTCACAAATTTATTCCATTGAATATATGGAGATTTATTGCGAAATTCAGCAGTCGACTTAGATCGTCCAGTTCACACTGAAACACAGTTTTCTGTATCAGAATATGTTGTGATCAGCAGAACTGGAATTTCATAATTTTAACTGAAAATTTGTTATATTATATTAAATGGCGATAAATGTACTGTTTCTACGATAAACCTTGCGAAAAGCGTTTAATTTTCATATATTTGCTTCTACCTTTTCAGAGGCTAAGAATTTCCGATAAAACATTAGAAGTAAAATACAGTTTTTTATACCATCTATCGGAAATCAGATATCTTCAACCGCTTCTTAAAGTCACTATTTTAAACTTTGACAATCATAAAATCTAATTAGTTAAATACAGTTTTTAACACATGAGCTGTCTAAAACGTTTATATAGTCAATAAAAAAATCGAGGATTGGTGTTAGTTATGTAAAATGTCTATTTTTTATTAATCCTTTTTTAAATAATTCTACGAAAATCTTTAAATTTGGTACACTGGAGTGCTACGCTTTTTTCCAAGGGCCCAATTAAGACACTTTTTATGCGTCTTTGAAGGCAAACATGATTTGAGTTGATTATGTTACATAAAATAAAATCGTTTCTTATAATTCCCGTGCGCAAAGGTGTTTGCTTCTTGAAACATTTTCGATAATTGCAAGATTTTTGAAAAATTATATTTTAATCTAACGCATATCGTAGCATCTTAGTCGTGTAAAATCCCTTATTATCTTTTAGGTTTTTTTCGAAAAAGTGAAAAGTCGATTGAATTTGACTGCTGGCGGCGAATTTTCGATTATTTTATTTATTATCGAAGCACCGTGTTGAAATGGATTTTTTTAAATATACATAGTACATACCACATACATTTTTAATGAGCAAGTTATTCATCTTCGTTAAAAAAATGGAAATAATCCATGCGTGCCAAGCTTCAAAGGTATTGCAATTTCTTACTTTGATCAAACACATAATTTTTTTGTTACATGCTGATTAGACCCAGTTAGTTCATATTAGATACCGATAAAAGCAAATTATGACTAGGTATTATTACTACTGGAATGGTAAAATGTTTTTTTCATGGTTTTTCCAAGTAAGTGCTAAATAATAATCACCTTAAGTCCGACAAACGTAGGTCAACGCGTACAAAAAAACAGACGCAATTTAAAAGAAGCGTTAAAAGTTATGGTTTTATTTGCACTGTGTTAAGTCAATACAGAAACATACGCTGATCCGTTCCAAAGCAGGATTTTCCACAAAATCAAACTTATTTGTTCAAGGGGTATTATTAGAGGATTTTTATTTTAATACGACTGTTCGCTGTTGAGTATATACCAGGATTAAAATAGCTTACAGTTAAATGGAACTGATCACTTTAAAAATAAAGCTGATGATTACTATTGTACGTAACGTACGCTATTAATTTTTATGTTTTATTTCAATGATTCAAGGTATTTATTTTATGAAGAACATTTGTAAATATAATTATTATTGATTAATACACCTGATAAGAGAAACCATTGTTGATGATTAGACGTATTGATTTCTGCGACTAAAATTCAGGGAATTTTTCGTTCAGAAAAACACTCACAAGCGTATTTCCTTATTTTAATATGCGCGTTGGCAAATTGACACACGATGTTCAAGTAGAAAATTTGAAATGGAAACCTTCGTTTTTTATATCGTTATCATATATGTACAGAGATTAGTAGATCTACTAACCTCTGATATGTATATGTATCGTTTGACCCAAATAAAAATAAAGTTAAAATTTGGCGTTATTTTTCTTTTGCATGTTTTGCGCGCAAAACTGTTGCTTTCATTTTTCATTAGATTCATTCAGATTATTGTCTTGGTTTGGCTTTTAGTAGGTAAATACTTTACATGGCAGTGTATTTTAAATTTTCTCTCAATTTCACTAACAGTTGAACGAACAACGAACAGAAGAAAATTATTTTAAGAATAAATAAGTGCATATACGAAAATGAACATAACGCTTAATGACATTCTTTTTTTCATTTCAATTCTTTCATGGTAAATTCCCTGTATACTCAATAATAAATTAATGGAAAATATATTTTTTATTTGCGTCACAGCAAAAGTGTTGATGATTCTAGTTGAACGTATTTACTTTCTTTACCTGCCTATAAGTGGTGTAATATTTAAAATGAGAACAATGTTAAAATTGCATAATCTTAAAGAAATATTCGAGTGTGTTCTATTAACTATTTGTGAATGGCGCTTATTTTGAAGCACCCTGTGTAGATATACAATTTTGCGAACAAAATGCAAATATGTGTGCCTGAATCTGAAAATCCTGTTTTATTGGGCGATTCACGACCTAAATCAATCAAAAACTTAGCAGATCTTAATAGAATTAATGTTTAAGTAAGTTTGTTGATTTGCGAATTTTCTGATTGTCTCCTGAGATGCAAGAATGCATTCTTAAGTGAGCAAATCAATCTCGATAAACAACATTCTGAACCCATACAAAGCATTTAAATTTTTGTATTTTTTATTTTTGCCAGGTTTGTCTTTCAAAACCCTGTTGAATCAGAATGAATAAATTTCGTACATTGGATTGCTGCGGGATTTCCAAAATTTTTCAAGTTAAAAAAGAGCCGTCTTTTAAAACACTTTCAATTATTAAAAAATGTTGGAAAATGGGTGTAAAGTAATTTAAGCTAACGCATATGATCAGTTGCGACCAAATCAATGCCTTATTCGTAAAGTTACTTATTATTAAATAAATAAATAAAATGGACAGCATTTTTAAGAATTAAACAAACAGTTTTCATAAATCAATTGAGGCCAATTAATAATTTTTTAGTTTTTCCGAAAATACACAAAATATTTTTTGTGAATACGAATTGTCGATGGCTGGTACTCTGACAGAGAGGCCAATATGAGATCGCATTTACGCCCATTTCTTTCCGCATCACTCTGTATATGAATGCAACTAATTGATAATCCGTGCATTAATTAATAAATACCAAAAAATCTTTAATTTCAGTTATATTAATATATCCTTGTCGATTTGAACAGTTTCTATTTCAACTGATGATTACGAAATTAGGTTGTTAATGATGATTACTTAACGGCAAGTGCTAATTTAAAAAATTATGTACAAAAACTATTAAATGCTTCAATTGACCAAACCGCAAGATAGCCTTGCGTGGCTTATTACAGACATACTTTATCAACATAGGAGAAAGTCTCTGCTTTATAGGTAAAAGTGCTTTTATATGATAAATAATTAGATTAAGTGTGGTAAGATGCTGGTTGCAACAGTTTATATAGGTTATTATGGGCTTTTCTATGAGTTTTTCTTTGTAAACACTAAGCCGTCCTTATCTATCGCATACTCGTAGCAAACAAACATGTTATCTTGTAATTTGTTTAAACTACTAGAACAGGAACAAATGCGTACAATGGCAAGATAAATATGACGAATTGAACTTGCAAATTATTAAGGGAGGTGATGTCTATGCGTAAATAGGTGGATAATCAATATAATTTAGGTCTGAAATAAAATTCTACTCTTACCTTTCATCGTAGACAGCGTCGTATGTAAAAATCTTACTCCTCTCATTATCACTTCTCGCTTTTAAGTTTTCTACCTCAATAACCCCTCGGTTGGAGTAGATTTTCACAACACTTTTGCACTCCTGTTGGAGCTCTTTAACACTTAAAGGTCTACACCTTACAATAACCTGCACTGACTCATTACTGGCTAATTTCTGGAAAACAACAATGAAAATTACTAGTTTTAATTACACCCAACATGAACCACAACACTTTTCCCAGTGAAATCACACAAACAGTATTTTATAAAATAAATTACTTACATCTGCAGAATTGGAACCACTTTCAACTGAGGTCATTTTTATTTACGTATTTCCTTACACTTATATAACACTTCTATTAACTATCAGTCCGCCTATCTTACGGGAAAACATTGATAAATGTTTATTGGGGGCTATTGATTTTTCCGTGCGCCTTTTGTATTTAAATTATCCTGCCATTTGTTGTGACTTATTCCCTTCCTTTTGTTTAAATCGGTTTGTGTACATCTATTGTCTGTAATGTCAAGCAAACCCCAGATTTGCAGAAATCTGTAAGGCCTCAATCAAATCAAGTCGACATTCACGTACTTTTACGTTATCAATCTGCGTGTAAAACAAAGACAGATAAAGCCGGGGTCCAGGAAATTAAAGTGAATCCGTTAATTCATGGACGAGCGGATAGCCAGAGCCTTTGAATATAAAACTATTAGTTAGTTTTATATTCAAAGACCAGAGCACACGGCATTCGGCCCAGACACCAACCACAGATCACAGAGGTTACTCTGTGATCTGTGCACAGATTCATACCAAATAAAAAACCCAACAATACTCCATGATACAATGAATACAAGGTAGGATCTTGCGTCGATTTGCGTGACGTCAGTGGAAATCACTGCCGGGCGTGCTTTTGTCCTGTCTGCTAAATGTGATTAAATATAGCTTATTTAGTCTTTGTCACATTTAATTATTTTTTATAAATCTTCCTTATAATTACAAAATGCTTTGCAGCAGATTTTAGACTTGAAAATTAAAAGTAACAAAAATGTATATATTTTGTAGACTAGCACAGTTGCCAGTTGTGCAATAAAGTATAGCGTTAGCTGAAAATGTATCCTTGCAGAAATAGTACATTACGATTCACGAGACGGAAGTCCAAACAATTTCCCAATGTTACTTTCCTATTATTTACGACGGAATATGCGGTTTGTGGTGCCGCGGATGATATGTAAATTTTAATACAAATGAAATGACTGCACACCGCATTTTTTATATTTCTGAACCGACACTTAAAAGTAGCAAACAATCTAGAGTACACTTTCCAACTAGCAAACGCAAAATGCTCAGTTTTGTCTACAAAATTCCCAAACATGCCCAAACGCATTGACCCCATGATGCAATGAATTAATTGTACGACAATGAATTTATTGTATGATACAATCAATTCATTGTATGAACAGTGCATTCATTCATTGTGATACAATTAATTCATTATTTCGTTTGGCTCAACCCGATTTCTCAAATGACACTCTGGCAACACAGCACGCTAAAACGGTGAAAATCAGAGATATCGTAAAGAATTATTTAGGGTATTTTTCTTCCGAATAGGCACAAATCAGGTCCGAAACGCGATTTTCAAAGTACTGAGCTATACAATGCTGCAAACCACATCTTCATATAACTCTCCATTTTTGAACTATTGCGTTTTGAATTCAGTGAAAATTTGTCTAGGTTACATGCATTTTAAATGGGATCAGCCAGTGACCAACCAGTGACGTCATGTGCGCACGAAAAGCGAGTTTTTGATCGATTAATATCCTACCTTGTATTCATTGTATCATGACGATCATGACACTACTCAGCGCACAAAATATCCCCCCTATATGTATGGGGGTATGTTCTGTGACTCAGTGTTCCGTACCACTTCAAGAACTTTTTTTCTCCAGCGGCCGGGCAAATAAAAAAAATGCAGATTTTTTTGTTGGCAGGTAAAAGTTTTGCTTCAATGTGAATTGATTGGATTTTTTTATTAGGATTGTTCCTGTTACACAATAAACAATGCATTAATGAATAATAAAAGTATCCTATAATGATTTCTATGTTTTATTTTTCTTCTAGCTTGAAAATGATGTACAAGACGTATTAGTGGAGTCCAAGTCATTATTTTGCTTATACAAATACAACTGGCTAATTTGGTGCCATTAAATACGTTTTGCACACTTTTTGAAGCATTGAAAAAGTGACTACTCCATTATATTACTTTATTTGAAATTGGCGGGCATTCGCTGGAACCGCGGGTGGCTCCCCTTGAGCCACGGCTCCCAGTTAACGAGAGAGAAAGCATCATCTCAGAGGACAAATTATTTACATTTAGTTTCTCGTTTCTACATGTCTTTGTTATGGCCTTGGAATGCGTTCAGATATACAACTTGCACAAGGTTAAATAGAAAACCATACCTCATAACCAGGCCCGTAATGCTGGCTTTTTTTTAACGTACAATTAGGGACAATGCAACAAGGCACATTTTAAAGAAACTGTTCTTTATTAGTCTGTAATTTGTGACAGTTTGACGTCAACCTATCAACAAACTATTAAAGAATGACAGAATGTTGTCATTTATGTTTATAAAATGTGTATTATAAAACTCACATAAAATAGCAAATTCTGAATTAACGGACGACGGACAAAAGAGAATTCTTACTTTTGACCATTTAAGCATTAAATAACATTTTTCAATTGAATTTGAATCATCTTGCTATCTAAATATTGACCAAATACTTAGAGCGGCTTCTAAGATCCGCTTTATTTTTAAATTTCCGTTTTTTAAGTGAAAACGAATAACATTCCTATACCGATGTTTGATATAAAACAGTGCACAATTTTCAACGAGAACTTTACAACTTAACCGGTTCCCAAAATATGAGGTAAATACTTAAAGCGGCTTTCAAGATCCACATTATTCTTGAATTTCCGCATTTTGCGTGAAAACTAAAAACATTCCCAAAATGATGGTTTTTAGGGTATGTTATTTAGGTAAAAAGTGCATATTTTAGGGCTCCATTCCAAAAGGGTTACGGGAGCTTCCGGCTCAATCCGTTCTCTAAATATGAGCGAGACTTCAAGCGACTTTCAAGATGCGCAATATTCCTAAAATTTATTGTAAATTTTTGAGTATAAGCTTATTCCTAATGCTCATCTGCATTATTCTGTTCAGGAGCGAGAACAACTTGGTTGTTTTTTCCCATTAACGGTTGAGTATTTTTTTCTGTGACTTAAATTTTTTTTTAACGCACTTTTACTGGACTGGGTCATATTCTGATACAAACTATTCACTATTAATTGTTTATTAAACAATAAACTATTAACATTATCAATTTTATTAGAGATTTTCCAAAACAAATGGAAAGCACACATATATCTAAGGCACATGTAAAAGGCACTTATAAAATGGCGTTTCTACTGTAAATCCTCAGGCTTTCCAGCAAAGCAAAATATTACGATTTCCATTAATTCACTAGTTAGATATAACAAACAACGAAAAGTATTAATAAATATTAATAATATGAAAAATACATTATAGTACAAAATATAATTTTACAACAATTACAAGCGAACAATTTCATAGATTTATTCCAGTATGAAACATTTGTATTTTTACATTGATTAGTTTGAATACAAAAGTGTATGAATTGTATAATATTAAGGCACAATCGTAAATTGTCGAAAGTAACTGACCAAGTTACACTCACTGCGTCGAAAACTGCAAAATCATGAAGACTGCAATGCAGATGAAATTAGCAAACATTTGCCGCAAGGAGAATCTTATAAGCAGCATTTTAACATTTTATCTTGTACGTATTTACTTTTTTGAATTCAAAGAGTATCATAGCCAAATTAATAACTCTTTGCGAGTTCTATTAGATATATTATTCATTTTATAACAAGGCAACAGTTTGCATTTTTTAATAAATTGAGTTTTCTGAAAATATTCAAATTAAAATAGATAGAAATCACTTTTGATAAACATTTGCTAAGCAATCTTGGTCGCACTATCGTTGAACATTTTCATTCAAATTGCAAAATCAATTAGCTAGTCAAGTTAAAGAACACCTTAGTATCTTATTGTTTTAAATATTAAATAAGTAGATAATATGTTAACCTTTTTGCAGAGTTGGCAGTAACTTTTGTGCAAATGGTATATCAAGATTAAAATAGTACCAAATTGAAGCAAAAATGTAGAACCTCAAATGAAACGCAAAAACAGTTTGTATGTCACTCACTCGGGTAAGCCCAACAACAGCGTCAGTATTCCATACGAGTTGGTAATTTTGAGTGAAATGACCGTTTAGCAACAAATCAAAGAATATAGGGACAAAATGTAAATTCGTGAATTTCTTCATTATTTTTTATTAAAAATCTTGATACGCCTCAAAAATTAAAATTAAAAATTATTAAAAATTAATGCAAATTACTTTTTAGCGGCAGTTTCCCATGAGCATCCAGTTTCCTTTAGAAGGGTTTTTTTTTTTGTAATAGACGCGTTAGCTTACTAATCGATTCGGTTCTATCGTCAGTAATTCTTGACAAACATGTCAAGCATATGTTTTTTTCAAACTATTTTCTGGTTCTAAACACCTGCTTCAATTAAATACAATAAATCCTGAACCCACTTCCATATTAGCTATCATTAGATCAGATTCTTGCAGTTTGACATTGGACGTGGTTATTCCACTGGTGTTGGAGCCCTTCGAGGGGCGGCTTCATGCTGCCTTCGCAGACGATTTCTCAGCTCTTTGGGAAACTTCTCGTAGCACTTCTTACAAACAGGTTTCAAGTCGCATTCGTAGAACTTTGTTTTTTGGTTCATTTTTTGGTCGCAAACTGAACAGGCGAAGTGGTGAACGCACCAGGCCTTGTTAAGCGCAGTGAACACTGGAATTGTGTGAAAACAATTAGTGATGATATGTCAGGAGTTAGACAAAGTCGCGTACCATCTCCGGCGATTACTTGATTGCAGTGATGGCAAAGATTGCCAAATAGTTGATGATAATGCGTTTCGCAATAAGCCAGGCCTTTCTTCTCGTAGTGGCGATGGCCGAAGAATGGCTTCTCGCACTTGGCACATACAAAATGCTGAAAAATTGGGAAAAAACTAGATTGCAAAGAATGCGAGTTTTAACTTTGGATTGTACCTCCACATGCCAGTGCTTGCCCAAAGCGGTAACAACGCGCTCTTCAATTGGGCGCCTACAAGCGCCACAAATGGGTACGCCCATCTTATCATGGCACCGCAAGCAGTATAATTCATTGGTGTCATTCTTGGCTAATCCAGGACGGTTGCGAACCTCCCTAGCGTTTGCATCTAATTCAACCCCGCACGTGGAACAGTTGAAGTGATAGGGATGATACACTTCGCCGCGGAACTTCAGTGGTTGATCATCGATCATTGCACTGAAATTTCATATCATTTACTAGCAGAAAAAGGTTCCATATTTCGTCACTTACTGGCACTTATGGCAGATGTATTTTCCCAGACCTCGGGCTTTCACTTTAGCGTTGCATTCGTGACACAGAGCTCTTCCGCTGTTTTTTATAAACCCAGTGTCAGCCAGTTCTTGCTTGCACATTTCACACAGGAAACATTCTGCGTGCCATGAAGCGTTCATCGCCTTGATCACTCGACCTGGAACGACAATTTTTTCATTTTTTAAAAACAAATTTTATAAAGTAATTTTTATCATGTTAGCGAATCGTAAAATAGTTTAGAAACGAAAGGGAAAAGGGGCTTCATCTGACATAATAGAATAGACACATTTAGTTTGTTGAGGAAATTCACACATCGTGGATATTTTATTAATGGTACTACCACTTTTCAATAAGAATCAAATTTTAGATCAAACAAGTTGAGAAAAAAATTGTAGTTTTTTCTGAAGATAGTTTAAAGGGCAAACGCGTAATTGAGATGAGAGAATATTTAAATTTTGACTCAAAAACCAATTTAATCATCATGGAACCGATTTCAATACAGTGCTTCATTGCGCATAAAAAGTTGCAGATAGGCAACTAATTGGTAAAATTCGTTTCTTTTAATTAACCAATTTTTTTTAAGTTTTCTTAAAAATTGTGTCCCATAAAAGCGCAACCGAAGTCATCTTTGACTTATTAAATGGCACACCCAAATTTCCACTTTATATCGAAATTTTACATTAAATTTGCAATCTGATAACCCCGCTCCAATCGCAGACCGAAAATTGTAATTTTTGGAAAGGATTAAAAATTAATTTCTCAGAAACGGAAAAAGATCAGAACCTGTCTCTTTCGTCGGCTGTTAGAGGACGAAATAGACTTTATTTGGCTTGCTTTAAAGTGTCTTTAGCTGCTCACATGTATTTTCTACAAATAATCACAGTTTAAAAATTTCAAATGACTAAAACTATTTTTTTAACTCAATTCTCTTTTGGTATCTGCGTCTTTCAGTACCAATATGTTCTACACCCATTAGAGATAGCTTAAGAAATAAATATGAATTCAGTGAAATTGTCCAATTATTTGTTCGCTGATTCCAGAGGCAGATTTATAGCAATCTAAACATTATTGTATCACAAAAACGAAATTATCAATAGTGGAACAAATAGTGGACTTCTTTTGAAAATTGAAAAAATAATTTTTAAAATTAATTTCTCTACTAATTGGAATTTTCTCTTACAGCTTGAGCCTAAGTGTGTATACCCTCTAGGTGATAGTTCTTGATTACTTTTTGATAAATAATTCGTTCTTATTGCGAAATAGGAGCACTATTTATCAATCTGTAATAAAAGACGTGAGGAAATTTTGTCTTAAGATTTTTGAGGCGAAATACCCAAAAAGAAGTTTGTAAAAAAAATACAGGTAATTTATTTACCTCTGCAGAATTACAATTAATATGTAATTTATTTTCTGGTATTAAGTAAATAAATAAATAAAGGCGTGAAACTATTTGGGCATCCAAATTAAGAACGGTTACTTTGTTTATATTAACTTTGAACAAATTTACTTGAAGTCTACTGAAAATAAAAAAACTTCCCGCAATGCTTTTGAAACCTAAATCTAGCAAAATATTGAATTTCCAGTCAGTTGAAAGTTGAGAAATCTTTTATAAACCAATAAAGGAATAAAAAACCAAATAGAAAAAAGCAATTTGGGAAACAAAAGTCAAAATTAGAGACGAAATATTCTAAAATTAATAGTTTTTTGCATTCACCCTGTTATCGCAATGGACCAATGGTTTAAGCGTAAAAAATTCGGTAGCGTTAACTTAATATTAATAATAAATTTTAAATATTCACCTATAATAAATCCGCCACATTTTTGGCAACACGGAGCGAACAGAACATGAAAATCATGTTCACAGTACTTCCTCCCATCGTACTCGTAGAAAACGCCATCTGCAAACTCGCGGAAACACTGGGCACATCTGAAAGAAGACAATGTTATCATCATTCTCCAATTAAGTACTTTCTGATTACTTACACAAAACATTGCTGATGCCAAAGCTGCCCAGTTGAATTCACAATCTTTTCCTGGGGCTCAAAGCCTTCGCCACATTTCGAACAAAGCATGTTGTCCCTGGACATACTGGCCAGGTTAACCACCCTGAAAGGAAATTTGTGAAACTATTTCTTGAGTCATTCATTCGCTTATTATTCTCGAAAGCGTTTCCACCAAACAACACATATGCAAAAATAATTATATAATAAATCGGTCCTACCATGTTAGTTTAGAAGGCTGAATCGGCGATTCAAGGTTTTGTTTCAAACTTAAGGGTGCATTGTTTAAAGGTGTTAAAGGCACATTATCATACACTTCATATTGGTAATAACTACTGTTTATATCATCTTTGGAACCCTTCGACGCTCTTCGTTGCGCCAAAAGACTGTTCTCTATTGCGCCAAGTACCGGAATTTTCGGTGATGCATCCCGCGGATTCATCATTGCACTTTGTCAATTCACAATAACGAAAATAGAAAAAATCAACGGTAAACTGAGATCACTATTCGACATATAAATAGATTTTATTAATTTTGTGAGTTTTATACAATGATGTTGACTCTGTCTATCCTTATCAAAGATCGGTTATCTATATAGTTATATTTCGTTTGAATTTATCCAGCGAGCAATTGCATTAGCACGCCAAAAATTAGTGCAGACACACAGCCTTATCTTGCCTTGCTTTGTTAGAAGGTAAAGGTAAGAAAATAAAACATTCTTATTCTAGTGAAAGTTCTCTGGTGTATTGCAAGTTTGCTAATATTTTAAAGCTAAAGTACTGTTTTCAATGTTATGTTGAGTTGCAAAACCCCAATGAATACTTCCAACTGTATATATGTCATACCACTGTTATCAACGGGTTGAATTTATCTGGAGATCAATATTTGCATTTTTATATTATTGCGGGTTTGGAGATTTAACTTCAAGTGGCCGATAAGAATAACCATTAATTACGTAAAGTTGAAAACAAGTTAGGTTCTCCTTTAATGCAAATTCCCTAGTGATACTTTTAATTGCACCAAAGAAAATATTATTTTACCAAGAAAAATTTGATTATTTATATGATATTATATTATAGGGGCAACAATCAACAAAAATGTGTTAGCTATTTTTTTTTAAACAATCAAAATTCACCACTTGATTAAGTGCCATCTAAAGTAAACATGTACAAAAAGTCATTAAAAAATATGTTAGATTAATGATTCTGCAGCTGAAATAAACATAATCATGTTCAAGATTTATTTGGTGTTATGAAGCAAATTACAATACTCAAAACCTGGGTCCATCTACCAACCTGTCGTTTTATTCGATGGTCTTATTATACCTTTTCGCTATGTTTGTTCATATTATATATATCTTCAGATATTTTAAACACAATTTATCGTTTGTCCTCCTGCCATTGCCGGTTATTAGGACAACTGATTTTTAAAATTTTTCCAAGAAAACCAAAACTGTTTGTCTTTTTTTTTTCATTTAAAATCCCATTTTTAAGGCTTTGCTTAAAATGAAAAATTGGAGAAGTTCCTTGAATTCTTTAGACTTTTCGGTGATTGCTCTAATAATCAGTATTATTTTTGTGGTCGATCTCATGCTTACTACCTCATTTGCTTCTATAACCATTTTCAGCATGGTCTTGATTATATTGGTTCTTCTTCAACTAGTAAGATTTCGTTTCAATTTTTCAAAACTTAACAACAAACAAGGAATTGTTATATGGATGTTGTCAAGCACATACAGAAGAAGATACATACAAACCATATCACAAGCTTCCATCTACCATTTTCTTACCCTATATGAGATTGCAGATTGCATTTCCTAACCTATACTCAAAAGATAAATTATCTTTTGATCTGTATTATATCTATACCAAATCTTTAAAATTTTTTGCAATTAAATTAGAATTATGCGATGCATCGCCTACATAACAATGAATTTTGAAAAATGACAATGAAAACATTTTACGGGTTTCTGTAAAAATTGCGCTTTTAAAAAAATATTTTTTTTGTGAGTTGGTATTATTCTGTAACTTATTTTTTATTTTAATTGTGAACTTGCGTTGTCCGGCACAATTTATTGCGAATAAAATTATAGATCTTCTCTATGGTTCTATTACTATTGAAAATTAAATACTACACACATTTTTGGTGTTTCATTTCGAAATTCGTTAAATTTCTGCATTTTCTTTTTGCAGCTACAGTTTCTCTTGCCATTGGAAAAAAATTAAAAGATGTCTTCAGACAAAACAAATTTGCTTTTAACAACTGTTCTTTCTTTGTAGGCAGATAAAAGAGCTGCATAATCGATGGTTTTTAATGGCATTTGCATTCTTAATTTACATCTAAGTTTTCTTCTATAATCGTTTTTAAGATACTCGTTATTTTAGTTGTCTTCGATTGTGTGAAGTTTAGATTTTCTTGTTATTTACACAATTCGTGTATAGGTAGACAATGTTCCAGCGTATTCTATACCTATGGTGTTCTTATTATACAGGATGTTCTCACTCTCGTTAGAGGAACTATTTCTCTTAATTGATGACTAAAGACCTTTTAATCTTTCTACAGGGAGAGGAAATAATCTTACAAGACTTTTAAAGTCCGTCTTTATGGCTTCTGCCATTTTTGGGCTATTTAGCTCAAAAGTAAGGTAGGAGCTTACAGCCAAGAGTTTATAAAAAATCTTCAATTTATTCCAGTCAAGTGATCTTCGTGTCTGTTTAATTAAAATTGTGTAATTATAGTTCGAATTAGGTCCGTCCACTCCTTTATTCCATGCGATAAACAGCAACTGTATACCCAGTTACTCTAGTTTGAGTGTTAGAACACTTACAACATCTAATACGAAGAAACCTAGTTTAACATTGACTTCTTATGCAGCATGGTTATTGGTAAACTGGAAGTTAGATTAAACAGCAGCCCATATAGAAGATAAAATTATGTCATGCATATAAATATCACTATGGTGTTAATGCATGCATACAAACGGATTACATGCTTACCCAGGCATAGGTAAAGGTGTCGGCGACATAATAAGAAGTTACTCTTCAAACCGAAAAATGGGAAAAAGCTTTTCAAGAAAAAAACTGGAAAAATAAATAAAATGTATTGTATACTATACTAGCTATAGCTATTTACAGAGGATTGTCTTTTGTACAAACGGACACACCAAATACCAAGATGCAATATATAGACTTAAACATACCGAGATTACGAAAATTTTACTAGTTGGAAAATGGGACACTGAAAATGACAAATTTTCACAACACGCCCAGGTGAAAGGACATAACACATAACCTTGATGTAAACGCCAATTTTCAATTATTATGGAGCGATAGAGTAGTTAGTGTTGTGGAGAATCACTTCTATCTTTTATATTCATGGCTAAGACAAGGACAGGGAATTGAGTTACTTGTAATACTAGATTTTCGGCCAATTATAACAGACGATACCATTTCAAGAATGGAAGCACAGAGACGGAGCGGCCCTTGAAGAAAAATTGTAAACTTATTTGTTTTCAAGTTTGTATCAGTAACATAGCGGGAAAAACTGTTCTGTAATTTCTGGTTTTCAAAGCAAGTATTTTTAAGTGTTATTACTAAAGCGCGGAATATATGCAGTTAAATTCAATCAAAATATGCGCATATATATGCATAATTTTTATTCCAAATATGCAATTATATGCATTTATTT